ACAAGTGCTGACAAATGCAGGCGAGGAGGAGAGGCATTCAACACTCGACAGGTTTCTCTCCCACAGTCCCTGCAGGCTGCAAGACAGACTGACAGACGGAGACAGAGACAGAGACAGAGACAGAGGGTGTGTCGGCTCTTACTCAACCAACAATCAGTCACCTCCCAAACGTAAGAGTTGCAATTGCATCATCAGGGAAGGGGGGGGCTGCCTGCAAGAATGGATTATTGTCAGATACAGTCTAGATGATATTTGTTACAGATATTTAGAGATTTTTCTGTTGTCATTACACATATAAAGTCAACAGATCAACTGTACTGCTTTTCTTCCAGTAACATTTTGCGGGTAAAATAAGAAAAAAGGTAGATTGGAGGCAGCAGGGGGCAGCAAAGACAACAACGTTTGCGTCACTATGGCGCTCCAGAGTTCATGTTTGACCATGTACCAGAGGATATAAATCATGCTATGGATCAGAGCATGTTTTTGTTCCTTCAGTTTTATTCGATTAGTTGCCATTGTGATGAGAGACGGTTAAAATTGGGAGCTTTGCAAGTGTATATGTGTTTGTTAATACAGACACAACTGCTGTTCTTGTCCTCACATAAATCTGAAGTATTATTTCTAGATTTTCACGAAAAATAAACACCTTTTTGTCACCCACCTGAAGCGTATGAATATGAAAAATCATTTTGCTAGAATTCTGTCTGAAAAACTAATTCATAAAAATCCATATTTTTTTTCAGAAATACACTCTGAGTAAGTAAACTCTAGGAACCTGTGCTGAAATGAAAAGGTACAGGGGAGGCAGACTGCAGGTGAGGAACAGAGAAGATGAGCGTCTGATTAATGGATTCACTGCAACATTCTGTTTTTTACACTATCCTCCTCATCCATAAAAAAAAAAAGCAACACTCCACAACCACAGCCCCCATCCCCCAATTCTGATCCCCCTCTTTTTTTTCCTCGGAAAGGATAAAGCCTGTTGCTAGGCAGGCAGTGCGACAGTTACCATGGGTACGCTTGCAGACGTAGCTGAAAGGGGGGAAAATGTTGGGTAGGGTGGGGATAAGTAAGGGGTGCAAAAAGAGATGGGAGTGATGCAGAGACAGTGTGTGTGTGCGTGTGTGTGTGTGTGTGTGTGTGTGTGTTGCGTGTTCTATGGGGGAGGGGGACCCAAGTTCATGGCCAATGCCTCTGCTCCATCAGTGCTTTTTTGTCTCCTCCAGCTACAGAAGGAAACAAAGAGGTGCAAAGGAATGGGGATCCATATTTAGTTCAAACCACATTTAGGGTTACCCCCTGATGATGCAGTGTGGGTGTAAATTGGTGTGAAGTGATTGAATGGCTGTAGATGAAAAAATTGCTGTAGCAATTTAATGAATTTTCACTAAATTGAAAGAAGAATGGCCAATTGGCATTACTGAGACAGCCAGTTAATTCTATTTCTAAAGAGAGAGCACAAGAACAAATAATCTGTGTAGTGTCAAAGTCTTTAACAACCTCCAAGGACACAAAGCGAATTATACAGAATTATTGCTGCAATTAATGCAATTGTATGCGCAAATGCTTCTGGTAGGCTATACGTTGATATATGGAACATCTTTGTTGTTAATAATTGTGCTAAAACCAAAGGTACAAGTTTTCTGAACACACATAATAGCACTTAGGCGAAGGAAAGTTCAGCCTTCAACATAAAACGAGATAATGAACACAAATCCGCAGCAGACGTCAGCCTTCAAGGCTTTTTTCCAACAGTTAAATTCACTGTGTAGATAATGCTCCATGCTGCATGCTCACTGAGACACTAAGCAGACCTTGTGCCTGGGGCAGCGTGGAGAAAGATGCTTTCTGACACGTGGAGTTACTTCAAAGACAGCACAAACTGCACAGTGGCTATTGTCTACATTGGACATTGTTTTTTTTTTATGCACGTGCAACGATCATACTGCTTTGTTCCTACCGCTTAATGGGGACTGTCAAATATATTTCCAAAGCAACAGTAAGTAGTATACTCATTTTCTGACACAGCCCCCAGCAGGCTGCTTTGATATCAAGCCACTGAACAGCTTAAGCCTGTCCAACAGCTCTCTCTACAATAACACAAAGGACAGTGTTTGGACACAAACATGCAAGCATGACACACATTCCTGCTTGTGATCAAGATGTATCAGAACACATGCTCTTCAATATGACTGGATTAATGGCCAGAGCAGCTTATTGGACTCACTGGTTCATCCTGCATGTTGAAAAATACTATAAAGGAAAATGCGAGTGCCAGGCCAGGTTCTATAACTCTTCTATAACATCTGAAGGCCCAAAGAACAGACGTCACGAATCCCTCTGCCCCAGCTGTCTGAGGCACTTGCCGCTGTGAATACCTCTGAATCTAATCTAATCTTAAAAGTTCCACTTCTGTTAATGCTATAAAAAGGCAACCAAGTGTCAATGTCACAACACTGTAAAACTCAATACATCTGATGGCAAACATCACTGACTCAAGGCTTGACTACACGAGTTTGGTTTCAGTTTTAAAGAGTTGTAGGACATGAATCCACATTGTTTTCAGAGTATTTCCACATGTGAGAGGTTTGAGATATCTATAGCTTCAGCATTTCTGTTTCATGTTTATTTTTACTATTTTGTTGAATGTTATTACTACATGATACAATTAGCCTCTAATAACAGGAGGCATTGTTCAGATAAAAAAATAAACTTGTTGTCATTGTTTTAGTCTTTTGTTGAGTCTCTTTTTTTAGAAAATTAAAAAATGGAAAGTAGTGAGAGCACACAACCTCTTTAAAATGCAAAACAAATCTTTAAAGAGTAATCTAATAAATAATTCTACAACTGCAAACAGACTTATTTATTCTAGTTTTAAAATTGACACATTTTAGAACATTTTGTGTCGCCTTCATTTAATGTAAAAAAAATGATTCTTTCGAAACATTTTTACAAAATATTATCAGCATGTACTTTTAAGAGTCAAAACCAATACTTAAGCTTAAAAAAGGCCCTCTGATCTTTGTTGTTTAACTCTTATTGGACAAGCAACAAAATACAGAGCTCACAATTTTACCAATATGAGTCTTTTGAAAGGCCTATTGTTAAACTGTGAGACTTTATAACAGTTCTCATGCTCTTGGCAGCTCTAACAGTAGCCACTTTTCTAGGAAGCACTTTCGATTCTGTAGCATCACCGAGGGAATATGATCCCATTCATCCAAAAGAGCATTAGTGTGAAGTCTGGCACTTTTGTTTGTTATAAGCCATGGCATAACAATCAGCATTTCAATTTCTTACAAAAGGTGTTCAGCTGGGTAAAGGTCAGTCTATTTGAGTTCTTTTTCTGGCATCTGGCAAACCCAGATTTGTCCATTAGACTACTGTAAAGTGAACTCAAAGATACACGTTTCAACGACCCAGTGATCGATCCTGGTTTGAGAATACTCAACTCCAGCTGAGGCCTGGCGTTGCGCTCAGTGAGGTGAGGCTTCTGTGCAGGTGGTGTTACATGAAGCTCCTTATGCAGAGTTTAGATGCTGAAGTTGCTTGCAGAGACGGTTTGTAACTCTGCTGTAAGAGATGCAACAGATCGTATAGGTAATTTTTATGCAGTGGGGCCACAGTTATTTGGAGTTTGCATGGTTTTCACTTCATGGCTGACTTTTTGTGGTCAAAGTACTCAGACTTTATAATAAAAGTCAGGATAACTTTAGTAGGGTTGACCTGTGACTTGATTTGTATTAAGAGGCACTGAAGTACTTACCATTCATAATTTCTATATTCTAATTTGTCTTTCTATTGGCTAAATCTTTTATTTTACATATTTATAGCACTGGGTTTGGATAAGTACACAATAGTAACACAATAATTGGTAGAAGAAATCATATATGACATTTAACAAGTGCTGAGACGTTTTTTTACAAAATGTATTCAGTCACTTTTCACGACGTATACAGCATTGACTGTACAGGGAAAAGATTGATAAATGGCAAGCCATTTTAATATTGAAAGCAAACACACCTAAATCACTAATATTATCTTAGATATCCTTAATAGCATTTCTCCCAGTCAGAACTAAAATCTGCTTATTTAGAATTATTATTTCAGATGTGCACATATACCAAACATATCCATTTCCTTTCAGATATGTGCTACAATCCAATCCTTGCTAGTTATACTTTAAAATTAGGATATGTTTAATTACATTATGGATATCTGGAATATTTTTTTCAGTTTGAATAATTGAATTAAAATTAAGACTACAATTTGAATTGTAGTTTTTTTTTTAATGGACATTTGTCCTGTTAAAGAATTTATTTCAGATATTCTGAATGTTAAGAATGACATTGTGGATATTTGTCAAGAAGATTGTTGATAGGAAGAAATAATTGTGGACATCTAAAATGTTTAATTTGTCTAAGAAGAATTTAATTACATATATCGCTCATGATTAACCAGTCTATCTATTAAACACTAAATCTGCTGGCCGTACCTTTGAGTCTTCTCGCTTTTCTATTAAGAGAGAATGAAGTGAATATATATAGACTTTAATCTCGTATAGCTACCCAAAAGAGGAAATAATGTGAAATAAAAGTGGGTTTGTGAGAAAAAGTGTGTATTGTACACTTTTCATAGACTGAGAATCTTGTTTTCCCAGAGCAGGAGCAGGGGGTAAATCAGGATACTGAACACATTGCTTCTTTCTATGTGGTTTTCCACTGTGCTGTTTTTTGTAATGTCTAGTAACCTTATTATGGGTATCACAGGCCATCATCTGACTGTGTCTAGCTTGGAGCCTAGCCCCCCCCCCTCCAGGTCTGGCTCCTCCCCCTGCGCGACCCATGCATCTCCGCTCCTTCAACAGGATTTGAGGGCGAGGCGAGAGGGAGGGTGCCGAACGAGAGAGAAACAAAAAACGTGACTAGGCACCCAAAGCGTCCTGTTATGCAACAACTGACCTACTAACATACATTTAGAGACTCAGAGAGAGAAGCTGAGAGAGGGAGAGAGAGAGAGAGAGAGAGAGAAAGAGAGAGAGAGAGAGAGAAGAGGACATAGAGAAAGAGAGAGAGGGGGGGAATTGGGGCAAACATAACATGAGGAGCGCATTCAAAACAAGCGGCACTGTGTCCACACTCACTCATATACCTGCGCTAATGGGAGAGCTGGTGTTTGGAAAGTGACGGACTTTGTGTTACCTTACATTATATTCAGTCGTGTGTGGAAGAAAGCAGCAGCTGATGCCAAAAGAGGATTGTTGGAACTGAATTGTTAGACGAAAACGGTAAGTTCTTATTATTTATTATTTATTATTTATTATTTATTATTTATTATTTATTATTTATTAGTATTAATTATAGCATAAAATATTAAATTCATATGATGGATTTAGTAACTGCTTTTTTGACTATTATTACTTTTTAACATTTCTGGCTACTTCAGATGTATTTGTTTTGATACTTGCTCGCATTTTCTCAATGTCAAGGCGAGGAAAAGGGTCTGTGTGTGAGAATGGGGGAGTGTGTGAGGGGGTTGGGAGGGTCGGTGGGCAGCCAGAGGTTATGACTCTTTAGTCTTTATTCAAGTTTTTGATTGTAATTCAACAATTGTTAGTGCTATTAATATAATTAGCCTACAATTATTATAATTACCATCATTATTATTAGGCTATTGTGAGGAGAACGTCATTATTATTGGTCTAATGTGACAGTAAGTCTAAGTGAATATTTTTGCAGAGCGTCTCTCTTTTAGTACGCGCCCTGTTTTGGGTTAGTAGGCTAGTCAGACAACTGGAAAAACTCCCATGCAGGATCCGAGGACACACTTCTCTCCGTCACGTGTAGCAGCTCTTTGTAAAGGTTAAAGCGGCTGTGCAGCCCTCTGGGTTAACCCTTTCGTGGCCGATCAGTCTGAAGGAGCACAACACAATCCAGAGCACAGCGACAGACAGGCATGATCATCCGTTCCTGGATACATGTGGACATTTTTTTTTTCCGATTACCTTCTTTGGCTTTGTTTAAATTTCGGGCAGCCAGACATAGAGAGGATGAAGAATGCTGAAGTTCGCGAGCTCTGCTGAGTGCACGCGCTGCCAGGTGAGATGGGGATCAGAACATCTGGATCAAATGTGGGTCATGTGTTTGTGGTGTTGAAGCCGCTTTGTTCGGGGCTAATGTGGACGAATTCATTCTTAATAGCATGGTTAATGAAGATGTGTGGCTTATTTGTTGAGACGCGCCAGTTTGGCGTGTTTTTATCGCATCGTTGGATTCATGCAGTCGCCTTGGGTGACTGCTGATTCGATTAAATATGCATGAGGACGATTTGTCAGACAGTGCAACAAAGGCGGCATGCGGGGTAACACATTTCTCACATTGTGCTGCTATGTGATGGATTACTTGCTTTGCGCTCAACCTATGAAGGCGACATTAAACAATACCTTCGCATTTGTTGAGACTTGAGCTGCGTACTCCGTTTGGCCGCAGTCCTGCACACACTGTTGTTCTGGAACATAATGTGAGAACTTGTTGGCACAAAGATAACAACACAATTAATTTTATGAAGCATATGTATAGGCTTTTTATTTATTTATTTATTTTTTTACATTTTGTTCTTAATGAGAAACTCCATCTTGGCCTCATTTCCTCGCTGGCTTTGTGGTTTATTCACCGCACGTGGGCATGGTCTTCGCGGTCATTTCCTCCGGGTTAAAGAATCACATGCAATATTAGCTCATATTTAAATAAGTCAAATCTAATAACGGTGCGTACAAACGACATCCAGATTTATTTGAATGATTTCAAGTAGGCCTCTTATTTCCAAAGTGTCAGCAGCATGTCTCTACTCAGTGTGATGAGGTGTCACTGGAAGCATTTTCCACGTTGTCATTTCAAAAGGGCCACATCTGGATATGTACGAAACACTGTAGGTTATGCATGTTGCATAAGAAATTAATTAAATAATTAAAGTGGATAAAAGAAGGGGCAGATTACGCAACTGGCGGAACCCCGTAGACTGTGGCTATGCTGGGCTGCACTTTGCTGTGGAGCAGCCTCTGCCAATTGGTTGGCAAACACTAGGTCTCTATGCCAGCCGTGAATGTAGGTCACAATGGGCCTTTGGGGGGGGGGGGGGAGCTGAAGCGCTCAACCGCCTCTGACTGGTAAGGCTGATTCGAAACCAAACCAAAATAAATTCCCTCCCAGCCATAACAAAGAAACGAAAAAGACAAGCGGAAATAGAAGACTTAAAAGCTGATGGCTGGCAACTTAAATATTATTTCATTTATCAAAAAAATAAAAAATGAACCATTCAAGAAAAAATATCTGTTTCAAGTATTTAAACAACATACAGTGCAGAGACAACTGTAGTTCTTAAGGTCCAAGACAGGTTAACAACATCAAACTGTGGGAGTTGAGTTCATGGAGCAGTTTACATCCTGTCCCACTTTATGGCCTCTTAACTTTCTCGGAGTTTCCTGGCACATGAAAGATGATAAAAGATGAGGGCTGTGCTTTGTTATTGCACTGTGGTTTGGAGCCAGCACAGAGGCGAATTACAGCATTTAGTAGGCCACATGAGCGCATGTGACTAGTGCAACACATGGACTGAGTCACTCAGCCTTTTTTTCTTTTCCAGAGAGGGGTTATATGGCCCTGTGTGTTCTTGGAACAAGCATCCGGCTCGGATCGGACTCTGCCTTCCTGGCACGCTGCCCGATTCTTAGCCAACCCCCTCTCTGCTCTCTTTCCTTCTGCCCCCAGACTTGGAATTCAGGCAGGCCCCACCCATGACCCCCAACTCTCCACCACGTGCCATACATTGCAATTTCCAGGTTAAAGGGAGGCAACAGTTTCATCATTCTCGTTTTTTCCTTCTCTCTAGAATACCCGCCCCACCTTTTTATTTTAGACCTGCTCCCATTTCCTGAAACGCTCCACAGAAACACGTGCACAGGGCTTTGAACTCATACCTCTGTTTCCAAAGCTCATTGCCACAATTAGACTCTTGCAGGGCCCGTCCTGTGGTTGTGTGAACGACTGCAACTTGGATTCTATTCCTGTGCTATCATTCCACAAGTGCCACAGAGACCCAGTGATGACACGTGAAGACTTTATGATAAATTGGAACGAGTAATCTAGGTCAAGGGAATGTGTGCAGAGGAGCGGGGTTGTGTTGCACTGTATTTGTGCTTACATCAGTTGGATTTATTTGCAAACTTGAGCTGCTAAATGCCGTCAAGTAAAATGGCTGCATTTTGTCCCTTGCCTTTGTAGTAGGGATTCATTCATTTCTGTTTCTGTGGCCACAGGAGTAAAATGAATGTGTTGTCTTTGAATGACAGGATAGGGTGAATGAAATGGATTACAGAATGAGCTGTGAAAGCGAGACCAAAAAAACACCTTAGTATGATTCAAGCTTATTCAAATCGTTGTTGAATATTCAGGAGATTCAGAAAAACACAAACAATAAAACCCAAGAGCCACCAGTGTGAGCTATTTAAGCAGCAGAGTTCATTCATGAGTTTTCCAGCTCAATGTGACTGTAGGGGTGATATGTTATATATACGCACTCAGTGACGTCAACCGCTGTCCTTTTGTTACTGAAAGTAAATTCTAACCATTTTGCTTTTGGCCATGTCAAACCACTTGTTAGAGGAAGGGGGAGAAGGTCCAACATGATTGGCTGCCCCTTTATGTTGCTATGGGTGACTCATTCCTTCTGTTGATGTAATAACAATATTATCACAACTGCCTTTGGTTACCCCCCCCCCCCCCCCCAGTCTAGTTACAGTATAAAGTTATCACATCAACATCCCTCTCTCTGTTTGAAATCTCCCTAATGGATCCCTTATTCATGTCTTGAACTTGGACACTACAAAGCTTTAATTTTCTCGTCCTCCTTGCACTTTTTGGTCTTTCCGTCTGTCTTTGTCTGGTTTTCTGATCTCTGGCGGCTTCGTCTCTCTGCAGCTCAGCTGACCTATATTCGCAGTGAGCCGTACAGTGAGGCTTGTGTTTACAGAGCACGGCCGGTCCCCAGTTTCTGGGTCAGTGGGACACGCTGAGAAAAAGTCTCTCCGCTCATTCTTTCTCTCTTGTGCCAACCTGCCACATGTCAGATGCTCACGTGGATGACCTGAAACATTTCAGCAAAGCAGATGTACAAAAAAAAAAAAAAAAAACCCAGACACACAAAAAAATAAATGATGAAAAGTAGCTTCCTGGATTAAATGTGCGCCTCTGAAGGGACTTTGACTGACTTTCATTTACATCGTTCAGTGAATCCAGACAAATATTAAAAATCATGGTGATGGTTCACCTGTAGTTACGTAATGGTGTCGGATCCCAGGGGAAGAGACAGTAAAACCAGTACAAACGCCTCACAAGATTATCAATCTGGAGATTATGAGATTAAAGATTTAGTCAGTGTAATAGTCATTATACAGTTAAACCTAACTCATTCTGCAGGTTCCGAGTAGTTTGAGTGAAGAAAGACTGCTTTGTTTGTTGTTGCTTGACATTTCCCAAAAAGTTCAAGTCATGTGGAAACGTGCACGTGTGACCTAATTATTTTCCAGGAAGTGTCTGTGTGTTAGTAATGCCATGAAACAGGTTAAACAGGTCTTAAAAAGAAGGAAGAGTTCTTGAATTATTTGTTATTCCCTCATTGTATCTCGGCTGTGGTTTTGTCAGGTAATAAACCTGTGCAGCTCTTTACAGCTGACTCCCTTCTTTGTTGAAGCACCTGCATTGTACTGACACTTCTCATCTGCTTTAGTGTTTTCACTGACTGATAACAAGCCATGTTATTCCTGCCCCCATTTGCCTCCCATGAGCCCTTGACCTATATTTATCGATGCCCCACCTCCGCGCTGCCCCCACACCTCTGGATCTCCTAGTCTCAGCCTATTTATCCTCCACTTGCACTGGCTGCTGCCTTTGTCTGCCTTATCTGCTCACTATGCATCATTGATTTTAGCGTTGAGTTGTTTTGGCGAGGAATGCTGCCACATTCCTCTGCGGATGAACACATTGGGGAGTAGCAGTGCTCAAGCAGTGTTTGTGGATAACGTTTCTTAGAGTGGCGGGCTTTCACCCATGGAGGATATTTATAATGAAATATTCTTAAATGGATCCAAGAAACACCTACCTGCGTGTGAGTCACTCTGCTCTGTCTAGCCCAAATACTCAAAAAAAGAGCTTATCCTACAACAGTCTATTTTTGGGGGGCTCTCAGCACATGTTAGGCTGATGCAATTTCTGTGCTGAATCAGTAATCTTTTTATGTGTATTGGCAGATGCCATGTATATCTATAAAAATATGAGCATAGGTATTTTAACATTTAACCATAAGGGCAGCGTTTAGCTACTGAGCAATAAGATGAGACAAGATCATCAGCCTGGCAATGAAGTCATTGCTCTCATTACATCACAAAAGTCAACATCAACATGTCAGGCTAAGGGTCAGGGGTCATAGGCCACAGCAGAGCAGATCAATAGCGAGGCCAAAAGGTCAGACTGTGAGGTCTAGTGACCATTTACTGGTTGCCATGGGAGAAACTGTCACTTAAAGCCAGACATGCAGAAACAGCAAAGAAAAGCTGTTTGGATGTGTCTTTGGTCAGGGTTAGGGTTAGAAACTTAGGTCAGAGAAAGGACCGGAGAAATTCCTGAAAATAAATTGTTTTAAGTCTGATGTTATATATGATTAATGTTATTCTTTCTTTCTTTTTTGTCTCTGCAGCCTTTCATCTTGCAGCCAACCCCCAAGGGAACCAAGACAGACAGAGAAAACCAAAATCCCAAAGTGATTGACATGCTGAGGAAAACGGGTTGCCCTATATCCTGCTGGTTGTGAGGAGATCAAGGAGATCAATCATTTGTGCTTTTCAAGACAGATCTGCGACAACTACAGTCTGTGAAAAGTCTGGACACTTCCCTAGTACCTTGATGAACATTTCAAACTGGCTGCCACAAGACAAGAATGGAAAATCTGACATCAGCTCTCAAGACATTAAATAAAACCTCAGGGAATGACCTAAACTGCCTTGAGAACTTCAGTGGCTATGAAGACTCTTCTTCTGTGCAAGGCAGTCCAACTCGCTTAGGGCGTCTCATCAAGCCTAAAAACAATATGAGCTGCAGGCGAAAGCGCGAATTCATCTCTGATGAGAAGAAGGACGCCTCTTATTGGGAGAAACGACGTAAAAACAATGAAGCAGCCAAACGCTCCCGGGAAAAGCGTCGTATCAATGATATGGTTTTGGAAAACCGTGTCCTTGCATTGAATGATGAGAATGTGAGGCTCAAGACGGAGCTGCTCCAGCTGAAGCTGCGCTTTGGCCTCATAAGCACTGCGTCTTACATTGAAAAGAGTCAACAGATTAGTGGAGGCAACAACGGGGGAAATGGAAGCTCATCCTCTTCTTCGACCCAGTATTACTCCAGCGGTTACTCTAGTGGTTCTCAGGTGATGATGAACTCGGATTCCTCAGAAACAGAGCAGTCAGGACATGGTGAGAGCCACAGGCAGTTGGGGAAATACTCCCCACGTGGCTCCCTCTCTGACATGTCTGATGGGTCCTCCAGGGACAGCCCTGAGCCAATCCCTTTTGAGATAAAACAGGAAGGTGACAGGCTAGAGATGGACATTGCTAATGGCACCACCACCCAGATCATGTTTAACATCCACCGTGGTCTTGCCTCTGTGCCCACTCACCACCAAATCCAGCAGCATTCTCAGGAGCTCAAGGCTGCATATCACGACCATCAACAGCAGCATCCCCTTCACCAACAGCAACCCCATGAGGAGTCTGTTACCACAATCAACACTGTCGGCCAGCCTGCCCCTCACCCACCTGCTGCCCAGCGGAGTGTTATTCTATATGGCTCCAGCAGTGCCTCCTATCCAGTTGAAAGCCTGACAAGGCCCCAGGACACCAACCTGCAAGCGGGCCAGATGCACAGCAGCCAGACAAGTGTTAGTCAACTGCAGCAGTCCATCACCGAGGGCTCCACTAAGGCATTGGCTGAGTTGAAAAAACAGCTAGAAAGGAAGTTATTACCACCATCTCCATACCAGCACTCAGTCGACAGTCGTAATGAGGCTGAGGAAGGAAACATGTACAAAGTTTCCCAGCAGCACCTGCAGCAGGAGCACCAGCCACACCAGCAAGAGGGCGATTCATCTGCAGGGCTCCTTCACAGACAAATAGAGGGAGTCAACCAATCCCCCCTGTACCACCATCTCCAGCAGCCTCACCATTCATACCTCAGTGCCCAAGATGAGGAGCCACCCGTGCTTACCTATGAGGGTGGGTCCAGGAGGGAGGCGTTCTACCAAGGTCAACCTAGAATCAATTGCAATTTGACCTCGTCCAGTGATGGAGATCACCGCAGCTCTGACAAAGAGACCTCCACGGATGATGACGACTTTCCCTCCTCGTCCTGCTCAGATATGGGTAGCTACAGCAACCAACACCTGTCTGGCCTCCACCAGCCTGCCTCACCTCCGCCCTCCTCTCAGGGCTGCCCACAGGCCCACGGCCGGGATGCACAGGGGGAGGTGAAGGGCACGGCGTTGCCACACAAACTCAGACTTAAACACAGGGCCATGAGCTCTGGATGCAGTGGTGGCCACTCCTCTGGTCAGGAGTCCCCAACAACCCCTCCCTCTTCAACACCCCCTCCCCTACCCCAGCACCCCTACTTGTCCCTCATGCCCCAGCAGAACATTACCAGGGAGAGCCAAGGTGAAGACTGTACACAAGGGGCCTCAGGGGAGGGGGTAAGGAAGGAAAGTGGGAAAAAAGACACAGGTGGACGACGAAACAAGAGGCGAGATTAAGTGACTTTTAAAGAAAAAGTCACAACTTGGACATAAGACATTTCTCGTCTAAGAACTACCCTGCCATCATGCCTTTGCCCTATAATTGAATCCCCTCCTTAAGCCCTTGGGACAGGAAGCTGGGCTTTTCTAATCCCCTACTCCCTGAATATCACCAAAAAAGATGGACAACTTGTAGGGCTGTAATATATTTGTATATATTGTACATATTTATCATTTTTACATCCTCTCCATACTTACAGAAGCACTTTTGTTTATGTGATAAGAGGAGGAATGGAACTGCCTGATTTTCTAACTTTTTCATCCAACAACATCCAGCGGAGTACATCAACCATCAATATTTTGACCACTAACAAAAAAGAATGTAGGAAAAGTTTTGAGCTTTATTAGTACTATAAATTTGGTACATATCTGACTGTAGACAAACATACAATTGTATGCCTTAATTAAAATCAAATGCAAACGTACACTGGGAACATTCCCTTGACCAAAGAATCACCAACACTGCAAATATTAAGTTCCATGCCTCTTCCCAGACCCTACCTCTACCGCCCCATACTTTTCCCAGTCATCTTCATTATTACACAAAAGATCACCATTACCTTTATTTTTAAGCACTTGGTTTGTATATTACTGTGATATATGAATATATGTATCTATTATAAATATATATTTTACAAAGAAATTTGAATACAAGTTCAACAAAAAAGTGACAAACCTGCAACGGTTAAAGAGGGTCTTGAAAGTGACCATCTTATTTTAAAAAAAATCACTGTACAGCCACATTTCCGCTACAGGACCCATTTGAATTAAAAGGCCTCACTTTTGATTGTCAAGCTTTAGCATTAATAATTTGTTAATGCCCTGTTTACACAGAAATGGCCATCCAGTTTGGAGCGCCTACAGCACTGAATGGAGAAGATGTTGTTTCCTGAGGCAAGGGCCTCAATAAAATGTTTGAATTTCTTTACCTTTAACCAGCCTTTAAATATTTGGTGGATTCACCAGCTGCAGGCTATAAGCCTTTAGTTTATTTGAGCTTTATCAATCATACCTTGTTGTTGTTGTCACCATTAACTGGCCCAATGTATTTATTTCCCTCTTCTCCACACGCCTATCACTGTAGAAAAGCCCACAGGAACATGGACAGAGAATGTGTACAGACCTTTTAGGATACATATTGCAGCCTCGAGTTTAAACTGTAATGTAAGCGTGGGAGGCAAGAGTAAAAATCAGGAACTCAAATTCATGCAATCACACAAGAGTGAATTGAGTTTCAAGTTAAGGTCAAGTTAAGGTGTGAAGACATAAGTAAAGAGTCCTCTACACTGGACATTCACATAAATTAATAGAGGTTCCATGGTGTGAACAAGCAGGGCTTGTGGCTTAGCTTTGATTCCAGATAATTTAGTTATTGTGAAATTAATCTTTATCCAGATTCCTGCATATGAATGCTGAATCTGTAGGTGAGATAGAACATGAAAAATGACATTTCTTGAACCCTCCAAGTTCTAATGTTGAAAATGTACAAACACAAATTTGAGCTTATATGAATGAAATCGAAGTTTGTCTCTTGTTTCCCATGTGCCTCCACTTCTCATTTAAGGGGGAAAGTCATTCTTTTCTCATGGTAGTTCTGCATCTGGGCAGCGAGGAATCTGCACCGGATCCTTTTTAACAAGAGTCTATGTACCATGTTTGGCTTTTGGTGCTTGTGTATAAATGTAAAGCACTGTAATGTTTATTTCATTGGTTTTTATATCCTTTTTTTTAATTCGTAAAGGTGTTGTTCTGTTTTCATTTTTACTGTGTCTTTTCTCCTATTGACAGTGATAACATGTATTTGCCTCATTTCTCTTTCCCTCTCCCCACTTCTCAGTGTGTATTAATCAGTAATGTTTGTGGTTTTATGAAAAAGATGAGAGGGAAAAAACAGGCAAAGATAGTGTGGTGTTTAAAGTTGGGTGGTGGTTGGACTGGTTGGTCATTACCATCCCTTCCTTTTGACATGAATATGTATGTACAGACACTAATGTTCATTGTGGAAGATGGGAGCATTTCAAGACCGAAAAGTGAAATAAAAAGAATGTTGACCTTATCAACATATCATGAAAAATACCTGTTTTTCTCTGTCATTCAATCACTGTTAGGTGGTACACACATTCAAACAGAGTCTTATTACAAACCATAATCATCCCACAACACAAGGTTAACACCTATCGAATCAGCCATCTGGCCATAGCAGCACATAAAAGCAAGCAGCCAGACTGGTCATTATTTTACATTGGATGAAGATTAACTTTATGGCAGTCCAAACAGTTCGGTATTATGTTACTGACTGATTGGCATAATACATGAATCACAATCAGGAAGCAAGCTGATAAAATTTGGGCAATTATAATACCATTTTTATATTTACTATTCATGAAATTTCCTTAAGGAGAGCTATTTTTACACAATTTTATTTAAATACACACCTGTAATGTATTCTAGGTCTGGTGCTTCAGATCATGTCTCAAACTTGATCTTGAAGTTTGACATGGCATGCCCTGTTTTCTGTGCGCGAAGATACAGTAGCCTTGTATAAAGACTACTAATTCCTCACGGGCAAAACCCTGTTTTTGGCATCCAAGGCTAAACTGTAATGAGAGAAGGTTCACATTGACACACTTCGCCTATTGGGGCCAGAAAACTCCCCCAAACGCTGACCTACTTCTGCTTACAGACATGATGCATAAAAATACAATCAAAAGTTGTTCTCACATATGCCAACACAATTCCTCTGAATAAAGCCTCTGCTCTTAAAAGTCATATTTAAATCTCTTTGATCAAACACTCCACATATATTACTTTAAAATACATCTCTGCTCTAACATAATCTCATGGTCACTTTTTGGTATAACACCTTTGACAGGTGTTTCCCCCCTGACATTCAGAATATCGCAGAGTTGTGAGAAAAAAAGACAAAAAAAAAGCAACAGGCTCAAATGTGAAATGAGAGTCGACTCTGTGTGATGATCAGGACAAAGCCAGGGCAGAGACAGTCTGAGCCTCTGACTGCTGCTGCCAGCTCAACTGTCCCGCCAACCTCCTGGCTGAGTCCCACCACATTCTTTGTCCTGACACAGAAAAGGCAGCTGTGTTATCACAGTCCAGACTCATCGGCTATATGACACCATGTTTTAAACTTTGAGTATACAGCTCGCATATAACCCTTCACCATATCAACGTATTCTTAATAAAGTATACATTTATTAAATAAATGCAAAATTAAGAAATAATGATATCAAACTGCATATCAAAGCAAACTGATAAAATGTTTATTGCCCCCTAAAATAGGTTCCTTTACCAGAGATTCACAAATCATACCATATGTTTCACTGTCCCCTTCAAAACCAAAAGAGTATGTTTTTAAAAATCATAAAGGGCAAAGGGAGGAGTATGAAGGGGGAAGGAAGAGGAGGGGGGAGGATATGGGGGAGTAACCCAGTGCACTAACTTGATCTAAACCTGCAAACAAAGCACCTCTTTGAGGCTGACACATCAATGCCCTTCACAATGCTGCCTGTCAAACACATAAGCAATTACATTCATGCAAACACACGCACGCACACACACACGCACATACACACGCACACACACACACACACACACACAAACACATACCTTTGCTCAGTCCCAGCGCACACACACACACACACACACACACAGAAAAAGGAGAAAACCCTAACAGACTGCCGTCCCTGTAAGATTATGGATTTAAGGGGGGGTGTTCATTAAATTTCTTACAGTGGCCACTCAACACATGCAGCACCCATGGGATTGTATCAAGGTGACACTCCCTGCAGGATTTTGCTGCGTTCCCCGATTTGAATGGCTGCTGCACTGGAGCTAGCATAAACAGGTCAGGAGGAAAGTAGGTCAATGGCGCAGGAAGGGAGAGGAGAGAAAAAAGGAGAAGTGGATAGAGGGTAGAGAGAGCACGCTGGTGGTCGGATCGATGAAGGTTACGGTCTCGATCTGTGTCACTTGATTTGACTTTATAGCAGAAGAGATGCTCCCGCCCCCCGACTCTCAGAAACAGGGCTCTAGTGTAACCTGGCTCCCCTCCACACCCTGGGCAAAGTTAAGGTTAGTAGAGCACAGAAGGAGGGAGGGATGTGAGGGAGGGATGTGAGGGAGGGTGACAGCGGACTCCAGCTTGGCAGAAAGCTGGTTTGTTTCCAAGATGACACATTTCTAGGGCAGCGTTCAGGATGCCTCTAAAGTCAGGTCGGATTCAGCTAACATGGTTGGAAAGTTCTTAAGCTTGCATACTGCAAAGTACAGTCCCCTTTGATATATATGCCATACCTGTCATACATATGCTGACATACATACAGTGCTCTTCACTCTATGCAAATCAGGAGAGAACTCAGGGAGAAGACTTTAAACATTTAACTTCACGACCCCATTTCTGACCTTAAACTGTCATCTTTCTACTATATAGCTTCTGAGCAAACACACCTGTGCATACAAATGTGCCCTGCAAGTGCACATGCAAACATACAGAGTACACGTGAAGAATGCGCAGTGATGATTTGCACAGTTTCACTACTCTGCTGTTTACATGAACCGACTTGTCTTTAATCACAACCTTTACGGCATGAATTCAAAACTTTCTAAGACTGAAGACTCCCCTAATCCAACATCATTAAATTAAACATCGCAACATTAGCTGAGCCCTGTGGCTTCTTCTTCTCTGTCTGTGCCTTCTTGGAAAAGTGCTCAGTGTCATCTGACAGTCAAAAGATCAAGCAAACGAAAGAGTCGTGATCCAAATCAGTTTCTTCTAAACATTACAAAGCTTGCAGCCCGAGGCTCAGTATACATCTCATCTCTTGTTATAAAAAGGTTACAAGTAGATCGAGTGTAGTCTAATGAAACAATAACTGTGAGGGGAGATTGATGAGTCGTAAGAGGAAGTTACATTTCTCTAAAGATACACATTAAGTGTTAAAAGCAAAAAATAAAAAACCTATTTCATTTTTTAAATGAGGCGTTTCAGCTAAAGATACACTCTTACACTAAAAAGGAAAATATCTTTTATATTAGCAGAAGACGAGAGAGACGAGATAGATGACTCATTTTATCCTCCCGCTGTTGTTCACCTACATTCAAACTGGTCTGAAGCGGCTGGCTGATTGAAAGAGCTGAGGCAGGGAGTGGCCTTGCCCCGATTTAGCTTTGGGCACACTGTAGCCCTCCCTCCCAGCCTTTTCTGCCTCCATCATACTCACTTAGGTCATGCAAACACACATAAATCAACAGAAGCCCTTGCAAAAGTGAATGCTCAATTGCACTGCAAAGAGCTAGGTGACTTGAAAAGTGATGCAAAAATGACTAAAAATATATAACATAAAAATGTAACTGATTTCTTAGAGATGCATTTGTTTGTGTTCAGGTGAGTAAAACCATGTGATGAGAAATTGGAGCAGCCCTATATTTGATTCAAAACAAGTTAGTTAATCCTTAACTTACTTAACACTATTTTCATGTGACCCATATGTTAACAACATTTCCAGTACTGAAATTTGGTGGGAAAAAATAAGTCATATGGAGTCTGAATCACCTCTCTACACTTGGGAGCATGGGATCCCCCACTCCCACACTATTCCTCCTGCTGAACAAAGCAGAATGCAAATGCAGCAGCAGACCTGGTGATGACCAGCACACAGCAGTCGACTCAAGCAAAGGGCTGCCGCTGACCTTCAGCTTCTGCCAGATCATATCAGAGTGTAGAAGAGACAAAGGAAAAAAGGGGAGAAAGAGGGAAGATGAGATGGAAAAATAAAAAACAGCAAATGTGCACACATCACGTAATCAATATGACAGATAAAAGATTAAAGTAGTAGAACATTCTTCACTAAAGACAAAGACAAAATTGCCAAGAAATGTACTTATAGTGTAAAAGTAAGAATTACTCCTCTAAAAGGTATTTGTACTGGCTGTGTCATATGCGTTCTTAACCTTATATCATACTGGGGAACCACAACACAATCAACCTTTAAAATAAAAAATGTATTGCCTTTTTGGTTGAAAATACTTGCATGTTTACATCATGTGACATCTATGTAACATGCACTGATGGGCACACCAAAAAAATATATTTTCAGTTTTTTTTGTCCGATCCAACTGATGTCAATATGGTTGTATGTTGATTTTTAGGAAGATGGAGGGCAATGATGTAAGGTAGGAGTACTAAGCATGTTATGTTAAGGAGCATTGAGTGTATAAAACATGGCATTATCCTCAGAGATGTCACGCATTGTTTTCTGAAGAATCTTAATGAAGCCAAGGATTCACCATAATGAAAGTGCTGACACCAACTGAAGTATGGCTAAATGATAAGCAGGCAGATATGTGGAGTGAAGGCAGGCCGAAAAAATATCATGGTTGCTGAAACAAACCGATCTAGCTTATAGCTAGTATATTCCATAAAATAAAAAACTACACAAACATTTTGGCTATATATATTATAGCTACAATCCAAAGGCCTCCTAGGGCGCGGTCACACTGGCCATCTGTACCGTGCCCAAGCACGCTTCAACCCTAAAGTCCAGTTCGTTTGGCCAGTGTGACCGTTCCGTGCTGTGCTCAGGCACGGTACACTTCCTTGGCCTTGGCACACTTCGGAGAGGTGTGCTCCGGCGCGGTACACTTCATGCACGAGTACAAGTGCCTCGAGTCCGCCTGTTTGTCAACTGAGCACGCTTCATAATAACATAAAGCATGCATGCGTTGTATTACAACGTTATGTACAAGAGGTAATCATGCTTCAGCACGTATAGTCCTGTGCAGTGTGACCGCCAGCGTGGGTATGGCGCAGCGGTGGGGCCAATCATGCTTGAGTACGGCACGGTAAAGATGGCCTGTGTGACCGTGCCCTTAGTCAACTCAGCCACACCCCTTATTATGCATAATTATTCATAACATAACATAATATAATCATAATGGGTGAGTTATAAACCCCTGCACAGCAAATAAACTACAGAGACCAGGCTGTATGTTTATCCACTATTAAAATCATCATTTTAATATGGGCTCTAATGGGGTTGTCTTGCTTTTAGGAGTCCCAT